GACAATTAAGCACACAGTGACCATATGCCTGATCACATAATTTGCATTTAGTTTGATCATCATCTGTGTGTCTCCCAAACTGCCAGAAGTACTTGTAACCAAGCCTAAGCCTGGCCACTAAAACATCAGTCAGTCTGTTAACATTGCAAGTTGCTCCATAAGTAAGTAAGTTTATTCAGGTATACACAAATACAGTTACATAAAATTATCATACATAGCAGCATATGTGTAGAGAACCTAGGATAACCCAAAAAAGTCAGACATACTTATATACGTTCATATTATCATAGTGGGTTATAGATCTACTCAGGCTTCTAACTGCATTCCTATAACGATCATTTTCGTTATTTTACTTCTCTCCTAATATTATTCCTAACGCTAGACACATATATACCAAAGTTGTATTCTACATTCTTCCTCTGGGTACTCTTCTTGGCTAACATAATCAACTTTATCATGAAGGAGTAATCCACTGTGTGATGGGATCCATAGCAATTGTACGTTAATCCCTTTGTTCCTGATTTTTGAGCATCTGTTTTCTTTACTACGCGAATTAGAAATATATTTGTGCTGACTGGCAACAAAAGATAAGTGAGGTTAACATGATTAACGATAATTTTTTTGTAGTAATTTTACTGGAGTTTGGTAACAAAAATGTTTTTGAATAATAATGTTACAGGAAGTATCCCCCAGGGTATAATGGAGTCAACCATGATATGTCGAGGTAAGACATATTATGGTGAAGTGAGACATACTATGAAGGGTTAGACATATTATGGAGAGGTGAGAAATATTACGGTCAAGTTAGTCATTATGAGGCGGTAATATATGATTATGATTATATGAAACACGATGGTGAGGCCAGGCATCTGGAACAAGGAAGCCACACCCCGTTATTGTGAGGTCAGACATCAGAAGCAAGGAGGCCACACCCCGTTATTGTGAGGTTACACAGAGAGTCATGCAGCACCGCCTTCCTCACCACCTCTATGCCAGTAACCACTCACCGAAGGGGCACTGTGACTTGCTCGCTGGCTCGCTTCTACTGCAGATGCAGAAGTAGAGAGTTCGTACTCGGGATGAACTCCTCCCTCCCCTAGCAGCAGACCTTCCCGCTCCTCTCCCACGATGTTACCGCCCCATTTCAGGTCGTCCATCAAACCGCGGGTACACCGTGTCTCTGCAGGCTCCCTCGATGTACCAAATGTATCAGGCACCAGGTAGCTTTCCCCCGACTATATACTCTTCTGGTCTCCCTCTATTGCCCACATACTCGAACTTCGAGCCTAGGAAGGAGGGGCCGAGGGTGGCCAGACAGAGCCTTGAAGCACTGGACTCGACGTAGACAAGGCCACAGGCGGATTACTGGTCTGCCCAGGTAGTGCTGGCTATCACTTACCTCCAGGTAAACAAGAGGACCCATCATTCTGCTGCCCTTTTTTTACCTTCCCTTCTTGCTGATGGACCCTCCTTTAATCCAGACTCTCTCATTGACTTTTTGACAGCGACCGATTTACTACACAAACTCAGACGTTGATGCCTCTAGCACTCTCCTCTGTCCTTTCTACCTTACTCTCTAGCTACCCTTTACCCCTGTACTATTCACTGCCCCGCTGCACTCCATACCCTAATAATCATCCCTCTTCCTCTTACCACCCATTTCTTCTGCCTCCTTCTCTGCCCTGTTGTGCTGTATAACCCTTGGGGTATAACACTTCTTTTTTATTATAATGATATAATAACTGTTTTAACGATGTGGCAGAAGCAGAATCCATACATAGTTTTAAGAATTGGTATGATAAGGCTCACGCAGCCAGGAGAGAAAGTGAAACCAGTAGCGGTCAGAGGAGAGGTCGGGTCAGTAAATTCGACTCGACCTTGACAACCACAATTGGGGGAGTGCACAAACACCGCTTATCCAAATTAATAGTCCATCACTAAATATGATTTTCTTTATTCAATTTTAAAAATATTAAGAACAGAAAATGTACGTGGTATTTTTGTTAGGGTAAACAATTATATATTTGCTAACTCCGTCTAAGGTACACATAAATGTAGTTACATAACTTATCATATATATCAGCATATGTGTACATTACCTAGGATAACCCCAAAAAAGTCAAAGTGATTTATTTCCATTGGGGTCCTTGACAATCCCCGAATAAGATTTTATTCGGGTATTAACCAAGGAAGGTTATTAAACCAGGGATAACCCAATAAAGCCATGTAATCATTGGGATAAGTTAAATCTTCTTCCCCAGGATGCGACCCTACAACAAGTACCTACTGCTAAGTGAACAAGGGCAGCATGTAAACGAAACGTAGGGATCTAATGGCTGTCCCTAAAGCTAACTTATGACTCTGAGCTTGACTCTATCATCATTACTGATTCTATGTCATCACTGAATGCTCTTAACTATATAATGACTCCAACAACATCAACATGCTCGTTAGAGAACCAGGTATAGATAGTCAAAAATCAGTGACAAAGGAATTAATGTACAGTTGCTATGGATCCCATCACACATTGGATTACTCCTTCATGATAAAGCTGATATGTTAGCCAAGAAGAGTACCCAGAAGGAGAATGTAGAATATAACTTTGGTATATCTGTGTCTAGCATTAGGAAAAAATTAGGAGAGAAGTAAATAATGAAAATGATTGTTATAGAAATGCAGTTAGAAGCCTGAGTAGATCTATAACCCACTATGATAACATGAACGTAGGTAAGTGTGTCTATGGAGCAACGTGCAATGTGAACAGACTGACTGATGTTGTAGTGGCCAGGCTTAGGCTTGGTTACAAGTACTTCTGGCAGTTTGGGAGACACACAGATGATGATCAAACTAAATGTAAATTATGTGATCAGGCATATGGTCACTCTCTTGAACACTATGTGCTTAATTGTCCACTTATTGAGGAATACAGAGATAGTATAATAACCTATGTGACATGTCAAGATATGTTACTAATGAAAATAAGATACCAGATATACTAAGCAAATTTCCTAAATTTGCTTGTAACAGATAAGTGAACTATAGATTTGTAGATATAAATCCATATGTATTCCTGTTAACCCTTTGGGGCCTAGTTCCTAGGCCTTTTGTGTATCCATATGCTTTTGCGCTACCGTCCACAGGTTGGATGTTTACCTGGAGTTTACCTGGAGAGAGTTCTGGGGGTCAACGCCCCCGCGGCCCGGTCTGTGACCAGGCCTCCTGGTGGATCAGAGCCTGATCAACCAGGCTGTTACTGCTGGCTGCACGCAAACCAACGTACGAGCCACAGCCCGGCTGATCAGGAACCGACTTTAGGTGCTTGTCCAGTGCCAGCTTGAAGACTGCCAGGGGTCTGTTGGTAATCCCCCTTATGTATGCTGGGAGGCAGTTGAACAGTCTCGGGCCCCTGACACTTATTGTATGGTCTCTTATCGTGCTAGTGACACCCCTGCTTTTCATTGGGGGGATGTTGCATCGTCTGCCAAGTCTTTTGCTTTCGTAGTGAGTGATTTTCGTGTGCAAGTTCGGTACTAGTCCCTCTAGGATTTTCCAGGTGTATATAATCATGTATCTCTCCCGCCTGCGTTCCAGGGAATACAGGTTCAGGAACCTCAAGCGCTCCCAGTAATTGAGGTGTTTTATCTCTGTTATGCGCGCCGTGAAGGTTCTCTGTACATTTTCTAGGTCAGCAATTTCACCTGCCTTGAAAGGTGCTGTTAGTGTGCAGCAATATTCCAGCCTAGATAGAACAAGTGACCTGAAGAGTGTCATCATGGGCTTGGCATCCCTCGTTTTGAAGGTTCTCATTATCCATCCTGTCATTTTTCTAGCAGATGCGGGGTGCACAATAAACTAGCCACTTCGGTGGCAAAATCTAAAAAAAAAAATCCCTTGAATAAGCTTTGTGTCTGGCTCTAGGATAATCAAATAGGCATCCTTCCATCTTAAACGCAGGTTAACAGCATCTGTTGTGCTGCGAGTGTGTGCAAGATGTTTCTCCACTGTATCCCTTATCGCACCACCAGCAGAGAATAACGCAAACACACATTGTTGAAGTTTTTTTTGGAGTTATCCTAGGTAATTTACACTTAAGTTATTACGTAAAATAGCTGTGATCATCTGTAATGTTTGTAAATGTACCCAAATAGACTTACTTTTTTTGAGTGTTAAATTTTAGTTTATGTGAAGTCTGATGGTTCCTCGGGCGAGTGATGTAAAGAATTTTTTTTTATCATTTTGAAATTAGGAAGGACCCGGTGTCGTTGTGTGGAGGGTTATAGATGTGGACGACACGTTGCTGGTAGTCTCCGATGAAAAATGTGGGAAGTGGAGCTCTGAAAATGTTTATAGGAACTCTGGGATGCCGATGGGAAAAGCCTCTTAGAAAAAAAAAATGTTACAATGCCTCGATTTGTTGGTGTCCTGAATGGAGAAAAAATTAATGAGAATCGTTTTTATTTATAGGCTTTCTGAAATTTTTGAACCTGAAAGAATTATTGATAAGGTGATGTCGAGGAATGGGACTTCCTCAACTAAATAAGACATCTATGCCACACTTTCTGTATGACCCTGGTGGTTTAGCGCTTAGTTTTGATTATAATAACAATTTTGCCACACTTTGGTACATTTATCGTGGAAACGTCTCAGCAGCCGTGGCTTCATCAGTCCAACTGAGACGAACCGTAGAACATGAAGAGTTTGAGGCAGTCTCTCAGCCTGGAAATGAGGGACTGATAACATCAGCCTGGACTGGTTACCTCAGACTTCTCATTTTCCACTGCTCTGTGTTGGACTGATGAATCCAAAAGAGTTACAGAGAGGGAAAGAGAGAGCATCATTTGGAATCTATGAGGAATCATGACGATGTAAAAAAAAATAATTTATAATTATTTATTTAACTGAACAATATACAAGCCCCAGTAGCCTAGCTGTGAAAGATAACTAGATGAGAATATAGCAATAGAATTTTATTCCTATTAATTCACTATGTTTAATGTTCATCTGAAAGTACTTACTAGACCATATAAAACAGAAAGTCACTCTCATAATTACGGAGTGGTTCATCCATCTCACTGATGGATCAAAATCATGATGAACTCAAAGTTGTCATGTTAACGCTCATCATGTCCATGAACTCCTTGGCAAACTTATGGTCCAAGAAACGGTTTGAAAACCCCATAGTTAAGTCCAGGCGTCCATTGAGGCTGTGGGCATAAAAAACATATGAAATTGTTCATGCATCGTATAGATGAGAGTCGAGTGAGCTTCACAACCTTCACACAGTCACTCTCACCAGTGAACAATGGCGTCACGTCACCCATATTTGATATAGTGTAATAGCTGTCAGGCGTCCCATGGCTTGTAAAATATCCATCTAAAATTTCAGATTTTGATTTTTCCATCAACTTAAGAGCCACAACTTGCAGGGGGCGGCGCTCAATTAAATGAGAATGTAATTTCTTGTGAAACTCCTTTACTGTAGGCCAAAAATTGGACATTAGAGTTTCAGAGGTTTTGAAAGAGGTCTTGAAGCCAAATGTAGGGATATGATTGCCATGAATACCTGTGGTGTCACCTTCATAATACCGTCTTAAGTTGATGTCATGCCCCGGCCCGAAATTAATTTCATGTGGCACCTCGCAATGATCATTAAGTAGATTAATGAGGGTGGCGTTGATGACACCTACGAGTCCAGAGTGAAGCGTAACTCCCTCTTCTTTGCACTTTCGACGAAAAGAATACGTTAGATTCTTGTCGAATTGAATATTAACAAAGCAGGTTTTCACATCGGTTCGTCCTGAAACAGGAAAAGGCATCCAGGAAAAGAGGACGAGTATCGGCACCATCCTGAAACTCCTTTCTGACTCTTTCCTTGAGTTCCGGATCTCCCAACAACTTTTGCCTTTGCTCTTCGTAAAGTTTCTGAGTTTGCTCGTCACCAACAAGCTTCCCCACCTGTTGTTCGTCGTTCACGGGGCGACCGGCAACCATATCGTCTAGAATGGTATGCACCAGGTTGCAGATATTGATATTAGTGAACCCGTCAGCTAACGAATGGTGGATACCAAGCATGAGAGCGTAATTATGAGAGAAAATCGAATCCAGATCGGTTGGAGGATGGTGTAGGTGGCAGGGCGAGGAGCCTCACACACCACATGGGTCCCTCAGATGTGTTGTAGATGTAGTGAGTCAGCTCCTCCTCCACTTCCTCGTCTTTCTTTGTTCCACAATCTGTTAAAATTTATTCATACATAAGACAACTGTCATGTCATTACGGGATATCGTACCCACCATATTTTAAAATGACCCCCATCTTGTACTCATGTTTTTTTTAAAGTGGTGTGGTACTGTAGATAAATGGTTCAGAAAATCGACAAGGTGGTGAATAAGACATTTTGGCAACATTTGGGTATAAAGATACTGAAGTGTTGCGTAAATGTCTCATTCATCAGGTAGTGAGTGGTACGTTTACTGTACCAAAAAAGTTTAATAAACAACAAATTTCCATATAAAAAAATTATGGTGTTTATATACGCACTCATTGGTGACATTAGAAGCAAGGTACGTTGATTTAAACAAAAAAATTAATGGAAAAATAGATATGATTTTCTAAAATATAAAAAAAATGATGGACAGGTAATACATATATACAAACATACAAAGCATACTAATTTGAAAAAAGGCAGAGTTACTATAGAAGGATTCGAGTATGAATAAGAACGAGATACCTTGAAGTCGAGGTTACAACCATTCATTTGTCGGAGCCACAGCTGTCCATCACGTTGACCAAGACAGACCCTCAGCACCTCAACCTTCCTGCAGACACCATCATCATCACCATATGATAGTGGCCCAGAAAAAATATTTTACGCATACACGTTCATACATTAGTAGATAAATCAGAATCATTATAAGTCTAAAAACATATAGTGGAGCTAACTTTTATTTTTTTTACGCTTTTTAGATTTAGATTTTGCCACCAAAGTGGCTAGTTTATTGTGCACCCCATATCCATCCTGTGGACGGTAGCGCAAGAGTATATGGATACACAAAAGGCCTAGGAACTAGGCCCCAAAAGGTTTAACAGGTGTACATATGGGTTTTTATTTATCTACATATCTACAGTTCACTTTTCTGTTACAAGCAAATTTAGGAAATTTGCTTAGTATATCTGTTATCTTATTTTCATTAATAGACATCTTGACATGTCACACAGGTTATTATACTGTCTGTCTCTTATTCCTCACTAAGTGTACAATTAGGCACATAGTGTTAAAGACAGTGATCATATGCCTGATCACATAATTTGCATACAGTTTGATTATCATCTGTGTGTCTCCCAATCTGCCAGAAGTACTTATAACCAAGATTAAGCCTGGCCACTACAACATCAGTCAGTCTGTTCACATTGCAAGTTGCTCCATAGACACATTTACCTACGTTCATGTTATCATAGTGGGTTATAGATCTACTAAAGCCTTCTAACTGCATTCCTATAACAATCATTTTCATTATTTACTTCTCTCTTAATATTATTCCTAATGCTAGACACAGATATACCAAAGTTATATTCTACATTCTCCTTCTAGGTACTCTTCTTGGCTAACATATCACCTTTATCATGAAGGAGTAATCGAATGAGGAATGGGATCCATAGCAATTGTACATTAATTCCTTTGTCCCTGATTTTTGAGTATCTATACCTGGTTCTCCAATGAGCATTGTGGAAAATTACATTTCTTATAATGACTCCAAAAAACATGCTTGTGGAAAATTGCATTTATTGA